CAATTAAATATACTCAAACACACCCTTTTACGTTGCTAAAGAGCAACAAGCTGTATTATTTGTATTTTTCTTTGAGCTACTAAATTTTCCTTTAGTTATTTGTTCAGTATTCGGGCTTTCTTTACAAGAAAAGGAGGCGAGGTTTTTACCTGATTTCGAAAGTTTTCATGTTGCGGCCAAGGGCAATATGTCCACCATATTGGGTAAGATTTCAGAGGCGGGTTAATCGAATATTACGTTCAAACCAACCATATTTCTTACTATGAAAATTATCCTTTGGAGTTATTTATGTAGCTTTATTACGGATTTACAGAAGTTTCGTTAGTCACGAAATGTTGTGCAAACACCTAAAAAAAACTCCCTGAAAATTTCAACCCTTAATATTAACATTAGGTACTCGCCCAAGGCGTGCAAAGATTTCCCATATAAAATACACGTAAGCTTTGAGCTTTTTTTTATGGTATAATCTTGGTCAATGATGGGTTTTCTTTAGAATTGAATGCTCTACAAAAGTGCTCATTGCGGTGTAATCCTAATTCCCACCATCGAGGTAGTACGGGTCACTAAACCAAATTTTTTCATCATTTTTACAAAGCAATCGCATTTCTGGCTAGTCTATCTCAGGATGAATGGATGAGGATTGAGCCAAGAGCTTGTGTCAGAAAATCCAATTTTTGGCAGCCAATGTCAGTTACGCGGTTTTGTACTTTAAACGACGATATGTATGTACATTAGACTGCATCACCAAAAAAAGTTGCAGTTTTTCCGCCGGGATTACAAAATCTATTATATTTGAAGACGTCCACCAAATTTTTTTTGAAACAATATTAAGATTCACGTGAGTTGGACCGATTTAAAANTGCGGTGTAATCCTAATTCCCACCATCGAGGTAGTACGGGTCACTAAACCAAATTTTTTCATCATTTTTACAAAGCAATCGCATTTCTGGCTAGTCTATCTCAGGATGAATGGATGAGGATTGAGCCAAGAGCTTGTGTCAGAAAATCCAATTTTTGGCAGCCAATGTCAGTTACGCGGTTTTGTACTTTAAACGACGATATGTATGTACATTAGACTGCATCACCAAAAAAAGTTGCAGTTTTTCCGCCGGGATTACAAAATCTATTATATTTGAAGACGTCCACCAAATTTTTTTTGAAACAATATTAAGATTCACGTGAGTTGGACCGATTTAAAAAAAAAATGGAGTTTTTTATGAATAAAAATAGTTTCTTAAAGAACTTTTTGAGAAAAATTTCCCCAGATGGCAAAATAGTTTAAGCTTAAAAAATCTACATAAAAATATTTAAAAATTGTATCAACGGAATTCTTATAATGAGATTTTTGATGCTGTTTTTTTTAACTTTTGTCAAGGCTTGGTTAAAGAGAAACTCGAATAACACTTTTCCCATCATACTTTTGAGGTATCAGTGGAAAGATATTCTCCTACTCTTTTTATTTCTTTGCAAAAAAGTACTTTAAAATTTTTCCGTTTAGAATTCTATTTACTGTCAATGCAGGCTAGTTTTGTTCTACAACAATGAAACTGTAAAGTAAAATTATAGCTTTGCTTGCCATTTTTGTATTAAATAAAATTAAACTACACATTTGTAAAAAGGAAATATGTCTGTTTTGTAAATCTCAAATTCAGAAGATTAACCAATTGAAAAAGTATATGTACAGATAACAGTTTTGTATTTTATCACTAAAAACACCAATATTTTGTAAAAAAAGTCAACACATTGTTAAATTGGCAAAGAATGAAAAAAGCAAAAACTTGTGACCAGGTAAATTTTGCTTTTAACAATGCGCAGGCTAGAAACTCATTTCCGCGGTATAGTTTCGTCTACATTTTCTCTTAGAATAATTTGTAGAAAACGAAAAAACCATACGATTTGTCGAAAAAAAAAAATTTGACCCACCCTAATGTACAAATATTGTTAATAAATATTTTTTTTATTCTCTGAGCATAAATGTTTAATGATGAACAAAGTGAGCAACTGGAGCGGCAATCACAGATTTAACCACAGGTGCAGCATGGAGTACTGGAACAACGGGAGCAACGACTGATTTTACAACGGGAACGTGGTGTACTACCGGGGCGGTGTAGGTCTTCACAACAGGTACAATTGGAGAAGCATGCACAATAGGGGCGGAATAGGTCTTCACCACTGGGTCAACAGGGGCAATAGTTTTGACTACTGGAACCACCGGAGCCACGGTCTTCACTGCAGGTGTCACGAAATGAGCATTGCTGTGCACTTGGGTGATGCTCTGGTGGGAGACGGCAGTTGGAGCACTGTGCACCACGGCACCTACTTTGGCAACAACCGGTTGTGCGATGAAGCCAGGAGCGGCGGTGGCGACGGCCAGGACAGCGGCGAAAGTGATCTGTGGGAATAAGAAATGGTTTATCATAAATAGTTAGTAAATTTACAGGATTAAAGATTTCTTGAGCTTGTGCTAACTTACGAATTGGAACATTTTGCTAGTGCTGCTGTTGCTGTTTGGAAGTATGTAGATCTTTGAAGTTTGATGGTTGACTAGTGTTGAACTAAGAGAAATTTGCACAATTTATATCATTGCATGCACTTAATCTTTGGAGTATGCCAATCAAACGAATTCACTTAAATGAATCAATCGAAAAGCAGTAATTTAAAATACCTTCATAGAATTATTTGCGCTGTTGCACTGAAATGGAGACCATAGGAAATAATTAAAATAAATCTTTGTTAAAAGCAGCTGGTTCACTGGCTAGTAGCAAGTTGGCCCAGGCATTTACCTCAGTTGCAATTTCGGAAATTTTGTCAACTCATTTGATTTTGTATGTTTGCTATTTATGCTGCGTTTGAAATTAATTATCCAGCCTCAATTAAAGGCAATTCAACAGAGCTACTGAAAGGTTGAGCTTGCTGTTAGTTTTCTGATTTTTTCTTTGGTTTCGCTAATTAAGACGCTTGCGCTTTTAGCAGGTAAAATAAAAGATAACTTAAAATTTATTTTTGCCTTTTTATGAGGTCGTCTTTGTCGAAGCATGAAATAGTTTTTAAGCCAAAACTGACCTCACTAGTCACGTGCATTATAAAATATATCTTATTGATTTGTACGATGTTTGTTTTGCGAATTTTAAGGTTCGAGTTCAATGTGAACACATTTGAGTGCAAGTTTAGCAGCGCTATAAATTTCACGCAAATTTACTGCAAAACGATCAATAAACTTACACGTTTCAAGCCGCAAACTACCACAACTCCAAAAGTAGCAATATGTACAAATATGTAAGATCCTTAGACAATTAGGTTCAATTAGAAGCCACGATAAATATTCGATTCTATTTTGTTACAGATTACCCTCGCTGCTCTCTTCGCCATCGCCACTGCCGCTCCTGGCTTCATCGCACAACCGGTTGTAGCCAAAGTCGGTGCCGTTGTGCACAGCGCTCCAACTGCCGTTTCCCACCAGAGCATCACCCAAGTGCACAGCAATACTCATATTGTGACACCTGTTGTGAAGACCGTGGCTCCGGTGGTTCCAGTAGTCAAAACTATTGCACCTGTTGTACCAGTGTTGAAGACCTATTCCGCCCCTATTGTGCATGCGGCTCCAGTTGTACCTGTAGTGAAGACATACTCCGCACCAGTCGTACACCACGTTCCAGTTGTGAAATCTGTCGTTGCTCCAGTCGTGCCGGTAGTTCATGCTGCTCCAGTTGCTCACTTTGTTCATCATTAAACTTTTCACGCTGTCATCCGAAACCTTATAAAAATAAATATATAAGACTTTAATGAATTGAAATAATTTGAGTTTTTTATATGCAGGGCCTTTCCCCTCCTTTGCTTCCAATTCTTCTCTTCGATTAGCCAATTAAATTAAGACTAATGTTGTGCTAGGATAATCCACGATAGGATCACTTTTTGGAAGTCTCTCGTTACCAAAACACCTTAGCACGGTTTCGGTAATCTATTCTGGTCAATGGCTAGACTTGGGATCTGTTATTATGAAGGGTGATTCAGCTTTACATTTCCATGATGATAACCATCATCAAATTATTGTCTATGGCGTGATGGAGCCGACTATGATTCAATTGCCTGGATGACTTCTTTACAAGATTTTCGTTTCTCTACGACAGTTGGTACTGCTTCTGATACACTCTTCAACCTACCTACATATTGGCTTAAATGAAATGGGTGCTGACCTTACAGTGGGAATTAAGGCGTATATTTTTAGAGTCACAGATCCTGACGTAGATGTCGTTTTAACGCTCCAAATAGGACGCCCATTTCTGTTGCTGAAAATCTGTACACCTTTCCTGAGGTCCCGCCCCAGGCTCAAAAAATTCTTACAATACCACGAGTTGTAGGCCTCTGCAATGATAACGGGGATAATCATCACTTATTTAAATGGGATTAAGATTCGGTATTTCAAGCTGAGATATGTGAGGTTCCGCAAGGCCACGGACCAAGTGTAGAAAATAGGAGTTCTTGCGCATACAGCGATAGCATTTGGCAGTTCTCCAACTATTTAATTTCAGCAATGCAAGTCATAACTTAATTATTCTTTTCGATCCTGAAATTTGTTGCTGTTAAGCAGCGGAGCTCGAAAGGATTAAATAATGCCGTAAAGATTAATTAATTAATTAATCCCAACGGCTTTTTACCCTCCAT